CTAGTGGAAAAACAAATAACACAGCCTATTGTATCCAATTAATGGATATCTACTTTAACTTCATCAACAGTGGATGTCTCTCAAACATAAATTTAAGTGAGAGGCAGCCACTTAAATCTCCCTGGAATCAAAGATTGGATGTTTTTAGTCCCAGCGTGGTGAACTAAATGGCTAAGTGATTTTAGCTTGTCTGATCTTCACCTCTCTGGATTTCACTTCCTTATTTGGGGTTGGCTTAGTTCAGTGGTTCTCAACCTTGGCTGAACATTAGAATCACCTGGGAATCGTTTTAAAATCCTGATTTCTGGGCCTCAGATGATTTTAAAAAGATTCCCAGGTGATTCTAATGTGCAGTCAAGGTTGAGAACCACTGGCTTAGTTGATCTCTAAAGTCCCTCCCAGTTCTAATTTATATTTCCTTTAGACATATTTGACTTGTTTTCATGGTCTTATTCTCCTGTGTTATATTGGGCAGATGGCCTAATGAATTAATGCTTTTCCTTCTATCACAGTTTTCTAAACTTTGGTCTTTAATGTATGTTATAGGTATTTTTTTTTTGATATACAGTACCTATATTTTGTGTATTCTGTTAGATCTTAATAATTTTCTTTCAAATAATCTTAAAGTGACTGACTACTTTTACTTAGCACTGTTTTAAGTTATACTATCTGTTAATTATGTGTGTGATATGGGATATTTTTCTAGTACACAATTAAATTAACATAGAAATGTTAAAGTATTTATTTCTATGCCTCCCTAAATCTTAATAGAATGTGTGCTGCTCTTTGGGAAACATCACTATATTTTGGATTTGTATCTTCAACTATCTCATCCTCTCCTAATATTTTTGGTATGTTTTCTGTACTTGCACAGACATGCCAGTGCTTCTGATTGATCTACTAAAACTATCTATATTAACAAAAGGATAATATACTAATTAGACCGGGTTGACTGGACATCTTCCAGTCATCTTGCCTTCCTTCTGGACAAAGCTATGGTGGCGGGGGCCGAGGCAGAGGTGGTTAGGGGCGATCAGACTGGCAGGGGAGGGCAGTTAGGGACTATCAGGCTGGTAGGGGAGGGCAGTTAGGGGTGATCAGGCAGGCAGGCAGGTGAGCGGTTAGGAGCCAGCAGTCCTGGATTGCAAGAAGGATGTCCAACTGCCGGTTTAGGCCCGATCGGCAGTCGGACGTCCCCCGAGGGGTCCCGGATTGGAGAGGGCGCAGGCCAGGCTGAGGGACCCCCACCCCATGCACGAATTTTGTGCACCATACCTCTAGTCCTATATAATAAAATACTAATATGCAAATCGACTGAATGGCAGAACGACCAGTCGCTATGATGTGCACTAACCACCAGGGGGGCAGACGCTCAACGCAGGAGCTGCCCCCTGGTGGTCAGTGCACTCCCACAGGGGTTGTGCCACTCAGCCAGAACCGCTGAGCCAGGCTCATGGCTGGTGAGCGCAGTGGAGGTGGCGGGAGTCTCTCCTGCCTCTGCGGCAGTGCTAAGGATGTTTGACTGCCAGCTTAGGCCCACTCCCTGTGGAGCGGGCCTAAGCCGTCAGTTGGACATCCCCCGAGGGCTTCCGGACTGTGAGAGGGTGCAGGAGGCCAGGCTGAGGGTACCCCCCAACCCCGCTGAGTGCAGGAATCTTGTGTACTGGCCATAATGAATAATTGAAGCCTGTAGTGCAAAAGTAAACTCCCAGAATTATGATGTGTTTGATTTTGCTGGACACTTAGATGAACTGCTACTTTGCAATTGCCTTAGTTCATTTTCATAGCCTGAGGTTCTCTCTGTGTACCCAGGTAATATGACACTTGACTATAAGTCTATACAAGAACTGGTTTAATTTTCATCCTTATCATGAGAATAAGTCCTTTAGGGCTATTTAGCTGACACCCAACTTGGTCAGACACTGTGGACTTTTACTTTGGCCTCACTTGCTGTGGTAGCTATCACAACCAATATTCAGTTTTTCAGTTGGTACATTGGATAGGCACTATTCTCAATATTTCTCTCTGCCTTTGTGCTTTCTATTGTGTTACTTCTAAAGTGCTTTTAAGAATTTTTGACATTTTTAGTAGATCAATCAGGAGGTCTTGTTAATATTACTAGAAACAATAGTTAATTTATTACTTTATTAAAATTTTAAAATTTTATTTCATGAGACATTAGGTAGAAAGAATAGTAGATTGATTTGCTCTGTTCTCTTTGAGTCAGTCTCCTAGCAGGTAAAGATCTGCTTTGTTGTTAAAGACTGGGTTACTATTTTAGTGGTAAAGAAGCTTATGAATAATAACTAGTAGCCCAGTGCACGAAATTCATGCACATTAAAAGGGAATTAATTGCCCTAACCAGTTTGGCTCAGTGGATAGAGCATCGGCCAGTGGACTCAAGGGTCCCAGGTTTGATTCTGGTCAAGGGCATGTACCTTGGTTGTGGGCACATCCCAAGTGGGGAGTGTGCAGGAGGCAGCTGATCGATGTTTCTCTCTCATCGATGTTTCTAAGCCTCTATCCCTCTCCCTTACTCTCTGTAAAAAACCAATAAAATATATTTTTTTAAAAAGGGAATTAATTAGCAGAGATATTTTAATATTGCTATTTGCCCTTTCTCTATAATAGAAGTGTGAGAGATGAAAGGAAATTAGTAAAATGTATATGAAAATAATATATAAATTTATTAATAAATAAACAGTAACAAAAGGATATAACAACAACAGAGGCATGATATAAAAATGACAAAAACATGATATGAAAACAACAAAAACATGTTATAAAAACAACAGTGATGCAAACAATGACTGATAAAGTGATTAAACTTATTCTAATATCTCCCTGTATACCACATTAAGAGTGAAAACACTTTCAGAGTGTTTGACTAATTTCCCTTGTGATGAAGTACTTAGAACTTTAACTCTAACATCACATGCTCTTCAAACTCAGGAGAAAGCAACATGTAACTGACCATGTGCAAAAACGGGTGCAGGTAGGAATATGCCTACTTTGTCTAGAGTTTGTCCTTGTGATTTATTAATAGTCATCACAAATGCTCGCATCACGGGAAACCGTCCTCGAATCAATTTAAATGTGAGGCCAGTGTCAGATGGGGACAAATTAATTCTTGGAATCAGAACAGCCTCTCCCTCTGCAGATCCTGTTAATACTTCAGCTTCGATAATGTTAGGTCGTAATCTTTTGATAATAAATCTGGTACCATTACAAAGAGATTTACTATTGAGATTTCTCAATAGCATGATGATTGCACCCACTTTCAATTTTAATTTATGACACGGCATTCCCGAAGGAGTAATACTATTAAGAAATTTGATGGGAAAATTTTCCTTTTCAGCATCATCTGTGGAATCAATGGAATCATCACTCAAATATGTGTGAAAATCTCCATCGAGTATATCCAAATTTTCTTCACTTAATTTTTGAACATGCTTATTTTTTGGACAAAGAATTGCACGTTTAGATATAGTTTTAATATTATCTATAGCAGTGGTTCTCAACCTTGGCTGCACATTAGAATCACCTGGGAATCTTTTTAAAATCCTGATTCCTGGGCCTCATCCTCCAGAAATTGTTTCTTTGTTATGGGGTGGGGCCACAACATTAGTAACAAAGAAACAGAATTAAAACTTTATTTTGGGGAGCCGCTACAGTGTTTTGGACAGGTTCAAGCCTTGGACTGACTAGAGGGCACAGTCCTCTCATTGCCACATGCAAGTCCCAGCTTGGAGGGCAGGGCCCTCCCAGCACAATTATAGCCAACAGCTGTAGTTGTAAGCTTGAACCTATGGTCCGAACCCGTGACCCCACGTGCCTGAGTGATGTAGGCTTGATAGAGTTCAGGTGCATGTAGTTGAGTAGGATTGAAACCCAGGAGAATGTTGTAAACAACTTGGTCACGCCCTTACTTTGCCTTGTAGCATCTGCTATAAAATAAAGGCATGGCTGTGGGCGTGGTTGCTGTCTCTCAGAGAAGCAGTGTCCCACCGAGACCCGGCTTTCATTCTCTTGTCTGTCTTTTCTAAGCCTTTCAGCTGCCCCCACTCAGGTTCACCCTTGGCTGTGCTGGCGCGGCACACTTTATAAAGATCTGCCTCCATGCTCCGAGGGCAGGTTCCTGCCTCAAACCCCGCCCTTACAGGAAATAGCTCCGGGAAACAGCTCCAGGAAACAGCTCCAGGAGGGCGCAGCCGTTGCCAAGACAACCCCTGCAGGACTGACTTCCTTCCGCTTGGTTGCAGTTCTGGTCGTGATGAACACCACCCAGGGTTTTTATATAAGTAGATAGCTGTGGTTAATAATTATGATTGTGATTATAATGAGGAAAATTTATTTAGCCATTACATTGTGCCAGGTACTCTATACTTTTCATTATTTTATTTAATTATTATAAAGTGTCTTAAGTTAGTGTTGTTATTCCTACTTTACAAAGCGTTACCTGAGGCTTAGCTACCCTGTCACTTGCTGGAGTTTATCTGGATAGTAAGTGGCAGAAATATGCCTCAAGCCGGTTCCTGGGCTCTGGAGATACAGGGTTAGCAAAGTCCAGCATACTTCCTGCCTTTGTGGACTTCACAGGATTTAATTTCTAGACTATACTTCCTACGTAGTCTCAGCACATATTCTAAGGACACTGTGGCATGGTCGGGGATATAATTTTAGAGTCTGAAAGCCTGATTCACTGGTATTTCCACTAACATTGAGGATAATGTCTCTTGTGAGGAAATGGTTATAAGTTAACACAAAAGTAAAATGAGAGATCAGCAAAGATCAGAACAGTATCTTTTAATTCCCTAAACACTGTCCATTCCCTAAACACTAGCACAGTGTTTTTATTCAAAGTTGGTACTGAATGAATGTTAATTTGAGTATGTTCATTGGCTATTAGACAGTGGATTTTATTCCCACATTATGGTTTTTTGATATAGACTAACCAGGATACTATTTTTACTTATTTATATTATTCCTTATGTTTATAGTTATTTGCTGGTGTAAAGGATGGAGAAAGCCTGCAGCTCTTTGAACAAAGTTCTCGTTCTGCCCATAAACAAGAGACGCATACCATGGAGGCCATGAAGCTCGTAGAGTTTGACCTTAAGCAAACACTTACGAGGCTTGTGACACATCTTTTTGGAGATGGTAAGTACTCAAATGCCTTTGACTTTGGGGCCTTGCATATTCAGTAATTACCATCATCCTTAAGTCATTAATATAGCTGTGTCTAGATTTTTTTGGTCTAAGTTGTGGCTTAATCGTTCAGGTCTATAGTGAAGTAGAACTTATGGATTTCCAGGTTCATTCCTGTGAGGAGCAGGAGTATATGAAAATAGAATTAACTAGAGAAAGAAAAAATGATGATATGCTGTAATAAGAATGAGAATGGATTAAAATCATGTCATTCATCAGTAGTGAGAATGTGTACAGACTGATTAGTGTTCTTGTATAACTATATTGTCATTAGGTCAGACTTGAATGATGGGGCAATATTCTCTTTTTTGCTTTTCTCATTTATTTATTAAACATTCTTTAGTTACAGTTAACATTCAATATTATATTAATTTCAGGTATACAGGATAGTGGTTATACTTCTATATAACCTACAAAGTAATCACCTTGATAAGTCTAATACCCACCATACATAATTATTACAATACCAGAGGCTTGATGCACGAAATTCGTGCACAGGTAGGGTCCCTAGGCCTGGCTGGCGATCAGGGCCGATCAGGGCCAATCAGGTACCTTGCCTCCCTGCCCCCTTGTTCCCTCGCCACCTGTGCCACTACCACGCGGTTCCCCCCTGCCTCCCCACCTTCTTCTTCCTTTGCTCCCTCAGTGCCCCGCTGCCACCGCTGGTCACCCGCCATGTTCCGCGCTGCCTCCTGATGGTCAACACACGTCATAGCGAGCAATTGAACTCCTGTTCTCCCAGTCAAACTCCCAAGGGGACACTTTGCATGTTAGTCTTTTATATATATAGATTATTGACTACATTCCCTACGCTGTACTCTACATTTCTGTGACTATAATTTGTACTTCTTAATTCCTTCACCTTTTTCACCCAGTCCCCCAAACCCTCTTCCCTCAGGCTACCATCAGTATTGAAGTAAAGTTGTTTAAATAAAATTGAAATAAAACTGTTTTAATTTTATTTGTTTATTCTTTTCTTTAGATTTCACATATAAGTGACATCATATGGCATTTGTCTTTCTCTGACTGACTTATTTCACTTAGCATAATACCTTCTAGGTCCATTCATGTGAGGCAAGATTCTTAACCAAGATTCCTAACCATTCTTAACCACTGTTCTTAACTAGTGGAAAGTTTTACATATTTATATATTGATCACTACTGTCAACAGCAAAAATATGAAGAGTGAATTTCATAGAGGAAGAATAGTATTTTTTAAGAGCTGGACTCTGTTTTATTTAATTACTTGCTCTTGATTATTTCTCTAAGAAAGTTTTTTAAAATATATTTTTTGTTGATTTCAGAGAAGGGAGAGAGAGAGAGAGAGAAAGAAACACCAATGATTAGAGAGAATAATTGATCGGCTGCCTCCTACATGCTCCCTACTGGGGATTGAGCCCGTAACCCGGGCATGTCCCCTGACCTGGAATCGAACCATGACCTCCGGTTCATAGGTTGATGCTCAACCACTGAGCCATACTGGCCAGGCCCTAAGAAAATATTTGTTTGTAATGTACCCCCTTCCAATTATTTATGGCTTCCTTGAAATAATATTTTGTTTGTTTTTAGAAAGCTCTAAAGAGTAGGTTATGAGACCTACAATTTAAAAATGTTTAAAAGACAGAAGCTAAGCTAGTTCTTATTCTTGTGAAATTTTTATAAGAACAGCTTTATGAGGTATAAATGACAAAAAATAAACTAAACGTATTTAAAGTTCACAGTCTGCTAAACTTGACATACAATAAACTGAATGTATTTACACAATTTTATTAGTTTTGACATAGGCGTGCACTTGTGAAAACACCAGCAGAATTAAGATAATTAACATGTTCATCATCCCCCCAAGTTTCTTCTTGCCCCATGCCCTTCCCTACATCTCCTCACTCCAGGCAGCTAGAGAACTGCTTTCTGTCACTTTGGATTAGTTTGCAGCTGTTAGATATATATAAATAGAATTCTGTAATGTGTACTTTTTTTTTTGAAGGGGTGGCTTATTTTAGCATAATTATTTGGAGATCCATCCATATTGCAGTGTATGTCAATGGCTATTCCTTTTTATTGCTAAGCCCTCCATTCCATAGTTTGTTTATTTATCCACCCATTGATAGACATTTAGGTTATTTCTAGTCTCTTGCTATTACAAGTAAATCTTCTTTGTATGGACTTATGTTTTCATTTCTCTTCAGTAAGAATACCTAGCAGTTGAATTGCTAGATCATAGTGTATTTTAACTTTCTGCGATGTCACTTAACCGTTGTCTGAAGTGGTTGTGCAATTTTACATTCCTTCTACTTGTGTATGAAGGTTCTAGTTGCTTTACTTCTTTAACTACACTTGACACAATCAGTCATTTTAAATTTAACCATTTAGTGGGAGTGTAGTAATATGTCGAGTAAGTATTCAGAATATTTAAACAACTCCAAACAAACAAGTGAAAATCAAGAGAGATAAGGGTGAAAATGAATGTGACAAATGATGTAGCTAAAGGACTAATGAATACCTAAAAAGATGCTCACCCTTATTAGTAATCAGGGGAATGCAAATGAAATCCACCATTAGCTATCCTTTGCACTTTCATATATAGAAATATTTTTTAAAATCTAACATTTGTAAATATTGACAAAGATATAGAAAAACAGAGGTAGTAGAAAGTCCTGGTCCTGTGTAGGAGTCTCAGCTACCAACCCCAGCTGGAACTCCAGTACTCAGTCTTGATTCATCTCTGTTTTTTTTCACACCTTCAGGTTCCCCTACTTACCTGTGAACTCAACTGTGTATTTAAAAGGATTCTAATTATAATTTACTAAGTTTCTAATGCCCTGTTTTAGCAAGACTTGTTAGAATATCTAGACTTTCATATTCTCAAATGCATAGTTCATGTAATATTTAAGAAATCACTAACTAACCCTGTGTATTTTAAATATATATACATGTTAAAAAAGTATATCAGCTTCATGCTAGTGGGTGTTTTTTTCTAGGAGATGGAGGAATGGTATTAGAAAAGAAGTACAAACCAGACTTCAAGTGTGTTCATAGAATTTTATTAAAATGAAGATAAATTAAATATGAAAAATGTTATGATTGATGAAACTGAATAGTGGGTGTATGGATATTTGCTATTTTCTATTTCTGTCTCTTGGTTTGAGATATTTCATATTCAAATGTTATAATGTAATGGTGAAATAGGTTTCAGGTAGAGATTACTGATGTGAACATTTTATTATAGCCAGTTTCTCTTTACTTTCATGATAAAAGGAAAGTATTATGATATTTTTAGAAGTAGTATCATCTAGTTAACATTGGAGTGCAGGGAGATAGATTATATTGTTCAGGCCATTTTTGAAGCAGGTTTTGGTAGAAGGGATTTCTAGTATTTTACGGGAGAAAGTGTTTAATGTCTAGTAACTTTACGGAGAGATTCAGGCTTATCTGAATGTTTTCATTGTCAATCTATGGAGAGACTTGTTAGAGCTCTCCTTATTTATGTCTTGCTATGCACATTTCTGTCATAAAATGATTTGCTGTTTGTAAGGTTTAGAAACTGCCTCATAGTTAGATAGACAGGTAATTGCTTCTCTAATAACTAGAATTTCTGTTTCTTCTATTTCTTTGTTATTTTTCACAGCCTCACTCCTCTCCCCACCCCACCCCCCATCACCTCCCACCACACCTCCATTTAGCACCATCAGTTCCTTCACCTGGCTAATTCTGACTTATCCTCTAGTGTCAGCTCAGATGTCCTCCCACCAGGACCCTTTCCTGGAGTTCATGCTAAGTCCTGGAGTAGATGCCTTTTTGGGGTCATCTGAGCTCTCTTTTGGGGTGGACTTTTACTTTTCTGAGCAGGAAGTACCACTGGATTTCTACTACGTTGAAGGTATCACAATATTGAATAAGTTTCAAGGAGTCATGAATCTTGAATGCTGTCTCAGGGAAATAGTGTGTGGTAGGAGCACACAGCAGAGGGGCCTCCTCCAGTGCTCGGCATGTGCTCCAAACTTGACACTAGTCATTGAGAACAAGCCTGAAGCTGTAGAGCCGGAAGGAATGAGGAAAGGAAGAGGAGAAAGGCAGAAAATGGTTAACAGATAAATCTCATGACCACTGAGAAACAGTAGTGTGGAATTGGAAAAATTAAAATTCTCCATCCATTTACTCTGAAATCTTGAACAGGTCATTTAGTGATTTAGACCTCAGTTTTCTAACTTTCTAAGATGCCTTTTACAAAGAAAATATTAAATGTGTTAATATGAAACAAATGAAGGAATAAGGAAGGGAAGGAAAATTATGACAAGGAAATAAAAGCAGCGAGCATATGAAGGAATAGTAATACAGTCAAAGACAGTAGTTATGGCTGATTTCTCTTAATTTTGTGTAATGAAATGTAGCTTTATCTCAGACTATGGCATAGCCGTCCATTTGGTGTTGATGGTGGCCTCCACATTCTCTCTGAGCACCAGCAACTATTTTAAAAAGTACATAATGTGCTAGAACCTGTAAAGATTATAAAACATTACCAGGGGCTTGGAGCATACACGTTTCTCTGAATATGGTCCTGGACTTTTCTGTGTCATTATTTTTAATATTTGTATTTGAATAGCTTTCAAAACCGTGCATTGAGATGAAAGTTTCCAGATAGCAGTTTTCCTTATAAAAAACCATTTCTATAGTATATAATTTTTCTGACTGTGATATCCATCATGCCCATGGTCAAGAATTAACAATCTTAACTTGAAATGGCAGTGAAGTTATAATGTCCCTACTTCAGGCAGATGTTTGCTTTATTTTTAAAATACTAGACTTTTAGGTTTCAGATTTCATTACAGATCAGAGTTGCTATTTTATAAATCTTCAAATCTCCCCTTTTTGTGGAATGGCCTTAAAAAATCTCATGTTTGGAGAATAGATACATGTTGTTCATATGCACTAAAGTCTACCTGTTAACAAAGTCT